ATTTTAAAACTAAATTAATCTATATACTCACCTCTATCTCCCAAGAAAACTACATCGCTACTCCGCGATTTTCGTCGTCCTCTCTCTCTATCAGTAACTGGAAAAAATGGCGACCTCGATTCTCCCTCTCCTCCTTTTCTCTCTCCTCGCCGTCACGGCCTCCGTTGAGCCCTGCAAAACTCTCTTCTATTTTGCAACAACCACCACCCGTCACCCTTACTCCCACTCCCAGAACCCTAACCCTAACGAGGCCAATTTCCTCTTCCAAAAACCTTTTTCCTTGTCTTCGCCGCGTTATCTCACTCTCATCTTCACCACTACCACCTCTCGATTCCCCAACCATCATCCATCCGTCAATTCAATGATCGTCCAATCGATCTTGAACACGAAATGCTTCCATACAAGGGGGCTCGTTAAATTACACTCCTTAGTATCGAGCTCGATCAGGGATCACAACAAGGACATCATGAGTGTCGTTGGGGCATTGCTGTTTGGGGTTGGTTACGGAGTCCTCACAGCCCTACAATGTATTTCTTGTGGTCTCTGTTCTCTCCCCATCGCTTTGACTTTGATGATGATTCCTCCTTTTCTTTTGATGATGACGATGACATCACCTCCTCCAAGAAGATGGGGTATCTGGCTATTCCTACGAAGCCCTAGGTGGTTTGGGCGTGGTTTTGGTGTTATTAGGGGGTTTTTGTTGGTTGTGCAGGTAGAGGTGCAGCGGTGATGTTGGATCTGGTGGCGGTGAGTGTGGTGGTGGTGGTGATGTCGATTTTTTTAGATGATTGTTTGTTGTCGAGAGGTGGTGGGGGTGGTTCCGGTGACGTGGGTTCGGTTGTCATGTTGTTCGTGGCGGTGGTGAGATGATGGTCACAAGTTTTGGTGGTGGTCACAGATTATTTAGTCGTTTGTGACCATTAAATTCATTAATTTGTGACCGATAAACATTAGTGACCAATGAAAAATATAAATTGTGACCAAGAAATAATGTGTGACATAAAAAATTGTTAATTTGTGACCGATAATTTGACAATTTGTGACTATCTATTAAGTTGTGATTTATAATATTTGTGATTTGTGACCGATAAATAAGTTGTGACGTATAAGTTATTTTATTTGTGATCGATGAACAAATTGTGACTTATAAAATTTCTGAATTGTGACCGTAAAATAATTTGTGACCTATAAAATTTCTGATTTGTGTTCGTAAAATAATTTGACACTTATAAAACTTCTGATTTGTGATCAATGAACAAATTGTGACATATAAAATTTTTGAATTATGATCGTAAAATAATTTGTGACGTTTCAAATTTTTATTTGTTGTGACCTATAAAATTTTTGAATTGTGATTACAAAATAATTTGTGATTAATTAATAATATGTAACCAATTATATAGAATTTGTGACCAAATTATATGGAATTGTAACCTTAATAAAATACATGTTTAATTAATTACTTTATAAATAAAATTTTAAAAAATCTGAGATTTGAAATTTTAAACCTTAAAAAATCTGAAATTTGAAATTTTAAACTTTATCTCTTAAATTTGAAATGGGTGAAACTTAATCTCTTAGTTATGAAATTTTCCCTTTTATAATAGGCGAGAAAATTACCTTAAATCCTACTCCATTCCAGTCTCAAACATCTCGCACTCGAGAGACGGCAAGACCACCATCTAAGTCTTCTCCACCAGCTTCGACTTGTGGTGCAAGGATGGCAACTGTATTTGGAGGTTGCTTGACCATGAAGCTACAATAATGCGATGGTCCGATGGCTATAGATTTGGAGGTGAGGGAAGGGAGTGGCAGAGACTATAGATCTGTCAATCCGATGGTGGTGAGGTGGGGTGAGAAGAATAGTGAGTGTGGTAAGTTAATTGTGTGATTTTATGATTAATAAATGATTTGTGACTTGTTAATTGTGCGTTTTGTGACTTAATATGTCATTGTGATCCATAAATTATGTGTTAAGCGACGGTAACCTTGTTTAATTTGTAACTTAGGATGTGAGTGTGATTCATAAATTGTGTAGTATATGACTATGACATATTAATTTAAAATATGGGTAATAATTTTTGAATTTATTTTTTTCACAATTTGTTAATTTTGAAATTGTATTATTCAACATTTGTAATTATGATTTTTCCCTAATTATATTCACTTTACATTTTTTGTTATTCATGTTACATTTTAATTGTCTTGAATGTTCCTAATCTTTGTCTTTATTCCCCACTTTTTTCATTACATTCTTATTTTTCAATATTCTATCAATTTACATATCTTATGTGTGATGATGATTTTCGTTCAAAGTTCGGACGAGGACATAAAAATACTTATTCGCTTCTCGTATTTTTAAATAATTAAAATAAATATCAAATACTGAAGTTTGACAAAACATTTGTCCCCCATCTAATGTACGTTTACAAAATATTTGAACATAAATTATCATAAAGGCAATTGAAGGTTAATTGTAAAAATGCTACAAAAGAAAGTTAAGGACATAAGTGCAAAATTATGAACTTCCATTGTAATTGAAATGTGATGGAATTAAAAAAAATAAAAATTGGTGTGAATATAATCGCTCTTTTCCCAATTCTTTTCAACAGAATTTTTTTTTTTTTTTTTTTTTGTATATATCATTTAAGACGTGGAAAAGATGATTCTTCAAATTTTTTAATATTAGAAATTCTAAAGCTCGCCTTACAACTAATTGAAAAAAAAAAAAGGAAAAAGGAAAAAGGAAAAGATGAGAGCGAGAGAGAGATTCTCGACCATAGTCAAGTAACATGTCTGTTACCAATTTAGAACCCACTTTTCTTGGTAGTTTAAGTTTACGCATGACATTGATGATTTGTTTACCCAAGACATGCTCCGAAAATGTATTTAAGCCTAGTAAATAGCTCGGTAATTATCTTCTATATAATAAAGTGTGTATGAAACGGTAGAGTAACAGAAATTCTTGTTTTCCATCCACTGCTCTACCGCCGTTAAATCCACCGGTTAATTAAGGATGTTAAGTTCCATGTACCACCGTTAAATTAAGGATGTTAAGTAGCAATTAAGGTAGCCATTTATCTTCTGTCAGGTCAGGAACTGAAGAGGCTTGAGGCTGTGAGATGATGGACAATTACCTGTAATTCGAGAGACCACTCATGGAGGGGGACCACCNCCATTTTCCGGCTCTGGTCAGACCACTCATGGAGGGGGACCACCTGGAATCGACTCCTCCTCACCTGGTGCTGCTATTCCACTATTGGGGCTTCACCTATTAGAGCAAAACAAGGTTCGATTGCTTCTTGCCATGAACGATGTTTTTGAAAACAAAACCTTCAATTGAAGGAGCCCTATTCCACTCCCACTGAAATCGAACCATTGAAGAACCCTAGAAATCAAGTTCCCAAAACCCAAATTTGATTGAAGGCTGAAAATCACCCAAATTTCCACCAAATTTCCATGAATCTTATAGGTTATCATTTCATACTTAATTAAATCTGTATTGGTATATTATTGTTGGGTACTCCCTCCTAGTG